CTTTTGTGGACTATACTTGTATTCCTGAATGCTATGAGTGCGTTACTAAGGACTGGTATCCAGCGATGATGTCATCACTGACCAATCAGTCATCACCTCATCCTATCAATGATAGAAGTAGGACCTATTCCACAATACTAGGAGCTCCGCCCATTAATGATTAAAACTTTATTTTTAAATTGAGTGTGTATATTTTATATTTTTCATTCCATTTTTATAATTATTTCTATTATTATTATAAATTTTAAACAAAAAATTAATTGACAAAAATAAAATAGCAATCAAACTTGTTAAGTTATTATACATGTACATTACAAATATTTATCTCTAATGTAACTAGCAATAGGTTTCTGTTCTATTGTATCCAGTGCTGTAGCTAATGATGACCAACTGGGACCTCCTTTCTCTCTCACTCTATCTTGTCCTCTTAACCAGGCAGACATACACTCACGGAAACACTCCACTGGATCTCCTCTATTCTTCTTGTCTATATCCACTAGTCTAGGATCATATAATCCTAACTGTAGACCTAGTCTGTGCCATACAGAACAAGGCAAGTGTTGATCTGATGTTAATTCTTTAATGACATCAGCAAGATCTTTAATATCTATAAAAATAATAATTAATAATGTGTATATACACTGTACAGTCTACACTCCCACTACTTGACAATTGTGATAGTACATATTATAACATACCTAGCTTTATTGGAGTCAATGGTGTCTTGAATTCTTCAGTTATTTCAATCACTTCCTATACAATAATAATAATAATAATAACTGATATTTGTCACTGTGCTTGTTTATCAAGGTGATATACATCAGTAGTGTATTGCTGAAAGGTAAGTTTATCAGATGTACAAGTATATATTATTAGTAGTAAAAGCCACACAATGACAACCCACAATTATGACAAAGACTGAGTAATTTTGATAAGAAATAAAGATATGACCTTTTGATTATTAGTGCTTGTATTAATGTATCAAACAGTTTGTGTGTGTTAATTCTTACCTTAATATCACGTCCTCCTAATAGTGACAGGCTACTAATATCTGATAATGATTCATCAGCTAGGATCTCCTTCAATCTTGTACGTCTAGTACCAGTGGCATTTACTAAAAACTCTTCTCTCTTGACAATAGCAGACATCACAGCTTTTACACTATACACTGTCCTTTCTCTTGGTGTATCCACAGGATAGGCTAGTTCTTTAGGATCAATAACTAACTCTTTTACCTCTAGACTGGGACAGGATTCTTTATAAACGCTCATTACCTTTCCTATCACATCTCTTCTTAGAGACACCATATTGTCACTGTAACCTTTCTCAAAGGACATCATTACTAGTACACACTGGCTCTCATCCACAATCTCTACCAGTGATCCTACACCATCACTATTAGACCAATAAAGTCCATTTTTCCAAAATGTACAACATCGCTTTAACTGGTCATCTTCTTGAGGTTGAGCCATTTTGTAAGCAAGACGTAATGAGAAGACATGGAAGTATCGAGGAGGAAAGAAATGATGTTTACTAGTACACTGTAGACACCAACCGAACTGGTACACTTCACTAGTCATCTCATCAGGTCTATCACTAGAAAAAAGACATGGAAAGTGTAACAACCTTTCTCCTTTTCTTTCTCTCCCTCCCTCCTCCTCCTCCTCTTCCACTGCTAACTGATGGAGGTTTGTCATTCTTAGGAAAGATGGACT